TATTGTACTAACTAAACTTTCTACGCCGTCTTTGACCACGCCCGTATTTTCCGTTTTCAATGTGCCCCCTTTAGCAATGTGTGTCTACCTGTCTGTCTGTCTGTCTGTCTGTCTGTCTGTCTGTCTGTCTGTCTGTCTGTCTGTCTGTCTCTCTCTCTCTCTCTCTCTCTCTCTCTCTCTCTCTCTCTCTCTCTCTCTCTCTCTCTCTCTTTCTCTCCCTCTCGCATTCTCACCTCTCTTTATCTCTACCTTCTTTTCAATGTCTCCGTCTTTGTTTTCTTATTTTTCTTTCTTTCTTTTTCTTTTTCTCTCTCTACTCTCTCTCTCTCCCCCCTCTCTCTCTTTCGCTGTCTCTCTCTATCTCTGTCTCAGTCTCTCTCTCTCTCTCTCTCTCTCTCTCTCTCTCTCTCTCTCTCTCTCTCTCACTCACTCACTCACACACACACACACACACACACACACACACACACACACACACACACACACACACACACACACACACACACACGTTCTCTCCAAACCGCTCATGTCCTCACTCTGTGATCCTGAGCTATTGTGCCTCATGCCACGCATCATTCCAGTAATCTAAGACTGACTGCTCTCAACATCCACCTGAAACAACATCTCCTTCCAGTCCAAATGCGACACATTCTTGTCGTCCACCTGTCCACTGCCGATTGGAATGACCACTTGGACAGGATGTCCTTCTTCCAAGTGTTACAATAGCCACGCCAACTGGGCCTAAAGATACAGAGGATTATCCAGTCGCTGTCCCGGAGTACTTCAGCCGACATCTGACATGCCCACCAACCAGTGAAGACTAGGACAAAATCAGACGAGTGTTCTGAGCATTTACGCTCGGAATGACGTCTGTCCGTAACGACTGCGGGTCGATAGAAACGGAGACATAAGCTGATTCCTCGAAGATGAGGATCAAGCAAATCATTGGGACCATGCTATCGAGGTACACAACTGCTTTGTAACTCATGCAGATGCGCATAACGTATCTCCTGTTCGTGACCACGGTCTTTGGGCCAACGCTTTGTTTCGTCGCCGTTTGATTCCCGTGTAGGGAAGATTTTGTAATCGAGTATCTCCGTCTATCCCTCCCTGGCAGGCTTTCCCTTGGCAGACAGACTAGAAACAGCCCGTCTCCTAAATGATCTAAACTGTACTGATAAGGGTGTAAAACATTTACAATTACATTTTCCCCTATTTTTGCCTTCGCTGTCTCCTTCGACCTTTACTTCCTTGAGTCGGAAAGAAAAGTTTTTTAAATGAGCGACCAGTGGGTGTGGCCAGGGGTGAAATGCAGCAACGGTGGTTTAACTCTTAGTATAAGCAAAGATACTACACCCTACGGTAGGATGTACTATCTTTGGTATAAGCAGACTCTCTGGTATAAGGAAAAGTCTTCTTCTTTTGTGCGCAAACAAACTGTCGTAATCCTAGTTTTCACTGTCACAGACTTCTATATAATCCAGCTCTTGTTTACATTTACCTGTTTACATAAGATAAACATCAAATTAAGTAGAAATGGATTATCCAAGCTGTAAACATACAGTCTGGTTACAGAAAAAAATGAATTTGCTGAGACTTGATAGATTCTTTTTAAGACTAATTTTAAACAACCGAGAAATGCTGAGTGCACGCTCAACCGGCGCTCTGTATGCTAAGAGTTAAAAAGCAGTTCCACGCTTCGGAGACGTGCAAAGGTTTTCTTGTGTTCTTTATGAGTGTAGGTTGATGAGTACGGTGAAGTTGTGTTGTATTATGTGATTGCTCGCGTACATCGCATGGCGCAGATTATGCTCATGTATGAAATATTAGAGTGATAACACCTTCTGTTTGTGTGCAGAATTCCCACGTATAACAAACTGTAACTCCCAGGCACCTTCAGGGTTTAAAAAAAATTGTTTTTGTTTTTCTGTTGTTGTTGTTGTTGTTGTTGAGGTTGTTGTAGTTGTTTTTTTTTGGGGGGGGGGGTGTTTTTGTTTGATTGTTTGTTTGGTTTTTTTTTTTGCTTTAGGCTTTTTGTTGTTTATTTAGTGTGCTTTTTTTTTGGGGGGGGGGGGTATGATAAAGGGAAAGATTTTCTTTTTTGTTCTGCTGTTTAGCTCACACTCCAAAAAATTTCTTCTCGGGTCTCTACCTTCGATACCTTTGAAGGAACCAGTGGACATAAATGATTCACTGTTACTTCAAACACCACAGAGAATCATGCCTCTCCTTGTCAACCTCACTATACCTCTTTGTATCGGTCTGTCGACCGACGAAAGCCGGACACAAAAAGACATTTCTTCAAACCTCAAAGTGTGGAGTCCCCCCAAGAAATAATCAGTGGTATTTTCAAGCATTACAAATATTTGACGACAAACTTGCAAATACAATTTCATCTCATTATGCTAAATTATTGGTGCTCCTTTACTTCCTCCATACTCCCCCAATCCCTCACTCCCTTCCTACTTCACGTCCTCTACCCCCCCTCTCTCTCTCTCTCTCTCTCTCTCTCTCTCTCTCTCTCTCTCTCTCTCTCTCTCTCTCTCTCTCTCTCTCTTTCTCTATCTCTCTCTCTCCACACAGACACACACACACACACACTCTCTCTCTCTCTCTTTCTTTCAGTCTTTTTCTCCCCCCCCCCCCCACCCACCCACACACGTGAAAATAAACACATGTTTATCAATTTCCGTTTCCCATTTTTTCTACCATCTTTTCACTTGCCTATAAAAGATATTATGACTCACTTTAGACATACGATATACAATCTTTGCATTTAATTCATTGAGCTTTCAGCTGCACAGGCGTTGAAAGACATCCACGCATACTACAATGCGATTAACGTGAAGAATGCATTCTTGTTTTCAAAATTTACTCTCTAAACAAACAAAAAAGAAAAATAATAGTGAATAAGCTTAAAAAAACAAACAAGTGTTGTTGTGAATACGAAATCAGTCTCCAAACGAAAGAATAAAAGTAATCTAAGGAAACACAAATTAAACATGATAAAGATAGAACAAAGAAAGTAAATGATTGGAACGTGACAATTTCTACGCGCGCGCACACACTCATACACATCTTTAAAAGTCCTGTTCTTTTCCTGTTTACCTATACATTTTCTCTTCCTTTCAGCCCCCTTTTCCCCAATTTCTGAAAAAAGGGAAACACATTTCCGGACGACAACTTTTTGCAACTACAACTTTTCCTTCTGAACGTGATGTACTCCCTCTAGCGTTTAGTTACGCCCCTTAGTGCCACGACCCTTTGACGAAAAACGAAATTATCTCCCCCTGGCATTGAAGTCATAATTGCTCAAACTCTTGCAGAGGAAGCCGTGTCGAATCAAGAGGTTAATGAAAGCGTTGTTGGATTTATTCTAGCAACGGAAGGCGCGTTGTAAATCTTAACTGTTGCCGCTAGCACTATTGTTTTAATATAATAATAACAGAAAATAACAGCAACATATCAACACATAATAGCACTGTAGTTCACTGATAGTCTTTAGCTTATCAGATCTATTCTGTACGCCCAGTTAGAACCATAGCAAAGCCCGTTTCACTGTTAACTCTACTTTTCATTTTCTCAACTTCGGTTCTTTCCGGTATTATGTTCTATTAAGCATCATTACGAAACAGCTTATAGTGAACAGTGTGTTGCTGTGATGTTTGTTTGGTTTTATTGGTGTCCTTGTTTCTTTTGTTCTTTTGTTGTTGTTGCTTTTTTTGTTTTGTTTTGTTTTACTTTATTTGTTTGTTTGTTGTTGTTTTGTTTGTGTGTGTGTGTGTGGGGGGGGGGGTGAGGTGAGGTGGGTTCCTTAACTATGTTTCCTGACAAAGCGCGAAGTTGGACAAAACGTAGAACAATGTTTTAGAGTCATCAACATCTATGAAATGCATTCAAGTCTCCATTTACATAGTTACCACTGTACAACAACAATAACAACAACAAAAACAACGACGACGATGACGACGACGACGACAATGATGATGATGATGATGATGATGATGATGATGATGATGATGATGATGATGAT